GGTCAGTGTGAAGCCATCACCTTTGGTCTGGGCTTGCACAGCCCATTATCAGTGCAGCCACCACACAGCCATAATCTTTAAAAGAACCTTTGTTAAAATCTAACCTTCCAATCTATACCAGAGAAGCATCAATGTTCCTCAGGTCTCATCATGACTCTTAGGACTGACAGTTTTCCTCTTAAATTTTTTCATGGTGCAGTCTTCCACACATTTTTCAAACCAGAGGTTTAAATTAAAAATTAATAATTCCATGCAAGATTTGCGAACTATGAAAATACATTTTTGTGACATTTATAAAGAAATCACAAGTTCCAGTTCACTTAAATAATGTTTCTCCAAGTTTGTACCAAATTTGGCTAATTAAATACAGAAACATATAAAAGACTGAATATACAATTTTAATGTGTGAGAACCATGACACCGGGTTAATAATATCAATAACAGAATCACCCTGGGAATTAAGTAACGACAATCAGTTAAGAATTATCAGGCAGTGAATACCATATTTAAATCTGAATCTCTAACTAACGACATCTTTAACTAAATTTTATAAGAAACCAACCCTCCAGTTTCTTCTGATTCGTTCTTCTCTGCGTTCTCCAAACTCTGACTGCTTTCACTGATATCTGATCCCACCTATAGCTGAATACATACTGGTGATTAAGTGTTGTGTGAGAAAGAAACAAGGTGAGAGCAGGACTTGGGTTTTTTGCCAATTCATATTTTATGACGCTTTTTTACGGTACATTTATTTTCAATTACTGTTGCCACCTGGAGTGAGATGCGGCAGGGTCAGGCACGCATCCATTATTTGATATCGTTTCCAAATTAATCTCTGTTCTCAGTTTGTCATCTGTGGTACATGATCTGTATTAGAGATTGTAGACCGACAAACAAAAACGCACCAGACTAAAATTATTATTAACCTTTAATTCGCTTTATTTAAATACAGTAAGTGTCATACATCGACTATACAACGGCATACCATTTATACTACATATAGTACAAATTAATAAATATTATATTCGCAGCCAATATACTGACGTAAATGCACATAATTTAATCTGAACATCCCCTAAAAGTCCCTGAAACCCCATTAAAATATTATTGGTCCCCTGGAAAGCCTGAAGTTTCTCTGATCTTTTAGATTGATTTCTGGTGATATTTTGTATTATCAAATAGTTCGCCAAAGGTTGACACCTAATAACTTTGGGAGGATCTAGCGAGGGTCATGCAAGGTCAAAACATTTTTTTTCCCAGTACTTGGTTATGAACCAATACCCTGGGGCAAACTAATGTGCATTGTCACTTTTTCACACCACTGTAGATGACACATTGCCAGATACTTCCTGTTTCCAGTCAGTGGCGCTACGAGTATAAATAAATACTGGCATGTAGAAGTGTTCAAGGTGGGACTCCTATCAGACGTGAAGTTCGGTGGAGATTGAACAAAGTGCACTGACATAATGACAAATTCCTGTTTCATGGCGAAATGTTGAAATTCGATGCCAAGCTGCAGACAGTCTTTACATTGCACTGACCATTTTACGTCACACACACACACATATATATACAAACATTTTCACCAGTGCTGAATTTTGTATTGCCAACAACGTGATTCTTTTGGCCTTTTTTGGCCCCAAATATGAAATTGGTCCAGCGTCACGTCGCAGTTTCTGCCACCAGGTGGCTCTTCATGTGTGTTTTCAGACAGTGGCTCTGGGTAAACGCTTTGTCACACAGGGTGCACTTGTACGGTCTCTCCCCGTTGTGCGTCCTCATGTGGACCGTCAAGTATGTTTTGCGAGCGCACGTTTTCCCACAAATCCCGCAAACAAACGGCTTCTGGCCCGAGTGGACTCTCACGTGGTCGTCCAGGTTAGTCTTACGTTTGAAGGACCAGCCGCAGTCCGGGCAGCGGTACGGCGTCTCTCCGGTGTGGACCCGCATGTGAATGGTCAGCGGTCCCTTGGTGGTGAATCCCTTGCCGCACTCGCCGCAGTGGTACGGCTTCTCATTGGTGTGCGTCCTCATGTGGATCTGCAGCTGCTTGCTCGTCAGGAACATTTTGCAGCAAACGTCGCAGAGGTACGATCTCTCTCTGTCCGCGTGAATCTTCTCGTGTTGTCTCAGCGTCCCGGGGAGTTTGAAACGCCGCCCGCAAACCTGACAGCTGTGAGGTCTTTCCCCAGAGTGGGTCATCTTGTGGCGGGATAATGACCTGTAGTCGCTGAGGGATTTACCGCAGATGCCGCAAAGGTGCGTCTTCTTGTTGCTGTGAGTCCTGCAGTGAACCTTTAACTGCTCCTTCAGCTCAAACACTTTATGACACGTGTAACATCTGTGCAGCTTCCCGGCCTTGTGGAGTTTCTGGTGATTCTGCAGTGACACCTTCAATGCAAACGCATCGCAGCAGACGTCACATTCATACGGTCTCTCCCCCGAGTGCGCCGCCACGTGTTCATTGAGGCTGAGAACGCTGAGGAAGGACTCTCCGCAGATGTGACAATCGTCAGTTTTATGGCAACTTTGAAGATGATCCTTCAACACCTCCTCGGACTCTGGGAGCTCGCCGCACACGCCGCAAAGACGCCCCGGATTGTCCGCGTGACTCCAGGCGTGTTTGACAAACGCGACTTCTGATCCGTGCAGAGCGCCGCAGACTTTGCAGGAGAAGGCGACGTCGCGGTTCTCACCGGAACGTCTGGCTTTTTGTTTCTTCGGCCGCAGTTCGGAGTCTCGTTCTTTCAGCTCCTCGTCGCTCTTGTCTGGTTTCCAATCGTCCTCGCTGTCTCTCGCCTCTTCTTCCTTTTCATCGCTACTACCACCTTTACTTTCTGCTGCAGAGCGAGCCGCCGCTGGTTCTGATATCCTCTGATCCTCATCGTCATCATCAGCTTCCTCTGTTTCAGTGTCTCGTCGTGATGTCGAGCTGTTGGACACGACGCCGACTCTGCTGCCTTCGACTTCCTGAACCGAGACGCTGTGGGAACAAATATTTTAATTATACAGTATAAACACAATCAATATGAGTGACTGAGGATGTCTGGAAGATTAAAGAGGTTATGTTAACTTAAATAATAGTTTAAGCATAATATTTGTGCTAACTAGTTACTTCTGATACAAAGTTGTAAGGCAACTGCAATGTGTCCACATACTTTTGGCCACATAAGTGCATGTTTAAGTTTTTACAGTGACCGTACCGAGTTCGGTCACCACTCGTTGACATGGTGGCGGCGGCGCCGGAAGAGTCTTCTGTCTGATGAATCTCTTCCCTGTCGACCTGACGTTCCTCCCGTGTCTGGAAAAATAAACAAAAAATTGACGCCTGCTTTCAGAAACCTGCGAGAGACGTGAGTGAGAATCTGTGGAACTACCTTCAGTCTGATGTAGAGCGTCGATCCTGTGACGCCAACGTTCCTGTGGAGCTCCTCCGCTGTCACCGCCTTCACCTTCAGAGGCTGTAATCTCCGTCTCTTGTCCGACGTTAAGATGTCGAAGCGTTTGTCGTCCGCAGAGAGCTGAGGGAAGGTGGACTTCAACAAGTCCATAAAGTCTGCCTCCTGCAGGCCTCGAGGACACTTCAGCTTCAGCATCGGACATTTTCTAAGAACTGACAGAGAATTCAACAGTGAGGGTTGCATGATTGGATGAATTCGAAGCCAGGTGTGTGTGACAGAAGATATTCACTCACTGCTGTTTGAGAGGACGTCGGTCTGAGAGTCCTCCAAGATCCGGAGCCTGAGATCTACATGGTTCTGTGGTTCACAGATCTGAGGTCTGCCAGGTTTCCTCTTCTTATACTGGCCTCTGGGGGGAGAAGACCTGAAAGAGGAAGACTGGCTGCAGGTTAATTGGCCCGTCAACTTCCTTCTTTCCTGTACTTAGATGCTGAAAAGACAACCACATTCTCATATAGGCTGAGTGATGCTACCTTTGATTAGTTGAGTCCTCCTGGTTCTCTGGACGCTCAGAGGACTCCTCATCTTCACCCTCGTCTTCGTCAGCAGTGCTGCGCTTTACACCTGGAAAACATTGTGTGAATGTAGGGGCTTTTATTTTGAAATGTTCAATAAGCAGAATTGATATATAAACAGATATATTTATTATTATTATTATTATTATTATTATTATTATTATTACAACATGTTGTGCCTCTTCAGTATGATTTGTTGTTAAAGCCTGTATGAAGAGCGCATGTGCCAGACTCCTTTAACAAAATCAGCTATTTAAATTTCTCCCACCCAGAGTTAAAATATAAATGTGAGGAAAACGTGACTCAACACGGCTATAAACATCACTGGTGTCTAACTGTAAATTCGGCATACATAAAGCGGCTATACATTAGTACATTGAAGTGTAAAAGCGCTTTGAGTGGTCGGAAGACGAGAAAGGCGCTATGCGAGTACAGGTCCATTTACCATTTACCATCAGGGTTAAAGGCTAAATGTTGTGCTCGTGGGTCAATTAAAATAACGCCGAATTAAAGAATAAATCATGCTGGTTACATGAACATCTTAGGTTTTGCAAATTAATGTATGAACATGTCTGGACAACCACGTAAAAGTTAAATTAGAAGATATGTTAAGGGAGCTCGGCATGCCCCTGGATCAATGAACCAACCCGCTCTGCTGAGTGCGACCCGAGGCTGCGGGAGAAGCTCCAGCTGTCTCCTCTGCCGGTCGATCTCCTGCCTGAAGCCCGAAGCCTCCTCCTCGTACCCGGCCACGATTCTGTCCACAGCCGCTAAAATCTCCCGGGAGGCGGCGGCGAGTCTCTCCGTCACAAAGCCCCGCAGGACGTCTCCTTTAGACATTGTCCTCAAACTTTAACACACGCAGTTTATTTATTTATGGAAACACGTATTCACTCTTTGCTTTGTTTACCAGCAGAACGCGTTTCCGGTTGTGGTGCGCGCTTAAACGTCGTCCGTGTGGAAACCTGAGGCAGTGGTTCCCTTTCCTCTGCAATAATATATTATTTTATAATATAATGTGTGTGTTTAGTTCTTTATTTTTTTATTTAAGTTAGAAAAAAACACAACAAAGTTTTTATAAAATAATTTAAATTTTAAAATAAGTTTAATAAGTTTTAAAATAGGTTTAATAATAAGTTTTCTTTTAAATATCATTATTTAACATATTTTCTGTATTTTTTAAATGCATACAAATATTAATAAAATCTCATTTACTTTAATCAAAATATACAATAAATATATTACATAATAAATAATAGATAAAATTAGATAAAAATAATATATTTTCTCTATTCCTCCCAGAGCAACAGAAATTTAATTAGAAATGTTTTATTAATCAGAAATTAACCTGAAAGTGTAATTTGTGTGTAAACTGTTGAAGTTCATTAACCTTCCTCTTCAGTCGCTGTGATCGAAGAAGAATTTTATTTCATTATTGCAACAACAGACGACAAACACAAGAGGGCGCCGCTGCACAGAGCCACATGCTGTTAATACATCAAGGCAGAGAGAAAGCAATAGTTCATCAGCAGAGAAATAATTTACAATCTAAACATTTATTTACATTTATTGCTCTGAAAGTAACGTTTGAACGGAGTCGAGTCCATTTATTCCTGACTGTAAAGCTCAACACTCCTCTTCCTCGTTCCTCGCTCCCTCCACCTTCTCTCTTTCTATTTTCACCGGCATGCTCGACTTCCTGGGCTTCTTCTTTGGCGTGGCGTCTCCTGACTCCCACCGCCACCGCTGCTGATTGGTTGGCGGGCTGTGGCGAGCTCCTCCTCCTCGTTCTCCTGTTGGGGCATTGCAGTCGAGTGACGCAGGCTGACAGTTGCAGGTCGCAACGTGGTCGGTGTGCGGGTGTTGACTGCGTTTGGTTTTCTCCGCAGCAGCAGGAACGACCAGGGGGACGAGGGAGGGAGGGGAGCCCGGCAGGGGAGCACTGCGAGCTGGGAGGAGAGGAGGAGGCGGGGCTATGTTGGATCTGTAGGTGGATCCACTCATGCTGAAGATCTGGTTGGTGTTTTGTGGCAGCGATTGAGGAGAAGGAGGAGGAGAGTCGGCTTGAGGGGGCGTGTTGTCCCGGCAGCCATGTTGGAGGTTTAACCCGTTCCTCAGGGCGTGAACGCGTACTTGTGTGTGAGCGTCCTGTTGCCACATCGACCCGCTGATCTCTCTGCTCGTACGTGGGTGAGCGTCGTGTTTGCGAGCACTTTTGTCTTTGTGTGTCGGCGTTTCCATGTTTGTGTTTCTGTGCGCGTCTCTGCCGCCGCCGCCGGTGTGCAGCCGTGGATTTGGGTTGG